TGTTTATTTCCTTAAGGTGAGAGCAGACAAGAAGCAGCCCTCATACTCTACTATTAATAATTTGTCGAGCTCAATTCTGTTTCAAAACAGGCCGTCGATGAGGCAGCCCTTCTCAGTTCGCCTGAAAAGTCTAGCTGAGGAAACTGGAGTCTCACTTGAACACAGTTTAATGGCTCCTGTAGCATATCCGCCACCGTGGCAATGGCAGACTATACACTGTGATGTGTCCTTTCTAGAAGTTACAAAACATGCGCCTGTTGCGCATATCCGAACATACTTCCTGGAACTTCAACACAAATACACACGTTCTGAATTCTTTACAGATGCCTCCAAGTCCAACTCCTCTGTGTCCTACGCTGCTGTTGGCCCATCCTTTTCGGATGCTGGCCCTCTACATCCAGGCAAAAGTATCTTCACAGCGGAAGCTTACGCGATACTTGTGGCTGCTAAACACATCAAACAATTACAAATACAAAAAGCAGTAATTTATACAGACTCCCTCAGTGTGGTAACGGCTCTGTTCAGTCTTAAAAAACAAAAAAAAACCCGGTTCCTGTCTCACTTTACTCCATTTTGTGCACACTCTACACACTCAAACAACATGTTGTAGTGTGGTGGATGCCAGGGCACCATGAGATCGAAGGCAACGTGAGGGCGCATCAGCTCGCTGCATCCGTCCACAAAAGCACTGCCCCTACACCCATATTAATCCCGGCCCTTGATCTTAAGCCCTCTCTCAAACGAAACCTAATTGACTACTGGCAGGGCAAGTGGGATACACAATCACACAAAACAAACTACACATTATTAAGCCACACCTTGGTCATTGGCTGCCAGTATCAAAATCGCGTCATACAGAGGTAATACTAACGAGACTCAGGATAGGACACACAAACACGACACACTCATATCTTTTGTCCGGTAGCGACCCACCATTGTGTGACAGATGTGGTGAAGCACTAACAGTTCTTGACATTTTAATTCAGTGCAAACAATTGGGCACTATAAGAAAACAATACTTTCCATTACCCTACCGACAACATATACCTTTACACCCTGCAATGTTCGTCGGTAGGGAACCGCTTTTTAGTTATAAATCATTGCTAGCGTTTTTAAAAGAAATTCATAGTTTTCATATATACCCGGGCATTCCGTAGCCCGACCTCTCCTGAGAGGTTTTCGCTGCGGTGGCTACACAAGAAAGCACTTGCCTCACGGCCCTCGGACGCAAGGGTATGAACGAGTGAGGCACTTGTGCTAATGCCATACATATCCACCATCGTCTTTTATTATCACCAACTTTTTTCATCTATTCGCACCACACACACCTTTCACGGCATGGTCATGTTTTTATTACTTGTATGTTTTTACCCGCCTTACCGCGAGGAATTTTATGGCCCTTATACAGCCGCTAATCACAATCATTGTCCACATTTCTTGTCCCATGAACTGGTGTTCTTTGGCCATCAAATGGCCCTTGCGCCAAAAAACACCATATATCATCATCAACATCACGGCGCAACGGCTCTCCACTCACTCCACAGAATGTCGAAGTTTCATCCCGGGTAAAAATAACTTTCCGCCCTAACACGTCTTTAAAGGAAGCACTCATCACGGAAATCATTGCACCTGTGTCGACCAAGGCCAACACAGGCACAAACTCTACCAAAACACGCAGTTTGTTTTTAAACATACACAAAAGAGGTATTTCTGTCAGTAGCACGTTTCCAGCGACCTCAGCCCCATTTGCCGCGCTGGCTAGTTTTCCGGGGGCGAAGAGGACGCTTTGCGACGCAGCGGTGAAGGAGAACGACGAGCACGAGGTTGCGGTGGGGGCGTTGAACTCCTGTCAGATGCCGGGTATTGGTTGCTGAAGTTGCTGGGCCAATAGTTGTCATCAGGTGGTATGTGGGCCGGCCGCCGGACACCATGAGGCTGTTCGAAGGGTCGTGAAAAATCGCATGGTTGGTGATACCGAAGAGTCACCCGACGGTTGCAAAATCGCGATATGTGGCCTGGCACACCGCAGGAATAGCACACCGGCGGAGGTCGAAACGACGGTCGCTCGTCGATGAATTGAGCGTCATCATTTGCTATTGTGTGACGGATGTACTGGTTGGGTGCGTCGTACCGAGACGTCGGGTGTCGAGGAGGCATGCGCTGAGAGCGTTGGTCATACCGCGACGCGGGAAATCTGGTTATCATCCTTGACTGTGGGGCTGGGCTGTACTCCTCATTTGCCGCGCTCATCGTCGGTCGCCATGGAGTCAAAGGAGGCACATCCATAGCCTCGTGGCAGACACAACTAACTCGGGATGTTGAGCTGTCGAACACGACATTTCTCGGTGGGACTGTTTCTCGCGAACAATCTGTCGAGTGGCAGAAAAGAGGTCGAGGACAGGATTTGTGTCCACACTGTCCTGGTGTGGATCTGGTGTGATTGTGGACTCCTATTCGCCAGCACGGGTTATGCCGAAATTTTCGGCCACTTTGATGGACCTTTTGTCATTGTTGGCAGACTTACAGAGGTAAACTACGTAATGGCTCATAATGGAATCATTGGAAGCGCAAACCAACAGGACACAAGAGAAGAGACAAAAAGCGCTTGTTTGTCTTTTCTCTTGTGTCCCGTTGGTTTGCGCTTCCAATTATTCCATTATGATTTGTACCAACTAGCCCGCCTGTCAAACCTATGTAATAGCTCGTCTCACGGCGAGTGGTCGACGAGCTGCCAAAACTCAAGTGATTCAAGTTGCCCGACTGAAACTGTACACGCCACGACAACTCGACTGACTCGTCCGGTGGCCTTCGTCTGCGCGGAGAGGAATGTTGCGAACATGCCAAGGACAACGAAGCGTATGCGGTGAGCGAACTTGTCGCCCGGAGTGAGAAAGGAAGAAGAGTATCAGGAAGATCTCTAACCAGCCGGCCTCTTCGGAGCTTCCTCTCACGACCTAATAAACGGCCCCTTTCAATTTATACTGGTCTCTTTCAAACGTAACAATATATTCGTTACCAGGTTTTCCGGTACCTTCTTGTACTGTCTAGCTCGGACCACAAACATGCCGGATACAAAAATATAGTTCATTCCCCATCATACCATTTATAAAACAGCATGACAAATACTACAAAGGCAAAGATAAATGCATGATACAAAACGCAGTACCGCATAGAATTGATTTTCTAAGTCTACTCCTCTTTTTGTTATGTTTCGTCAGACGCATAGCTACTACGCAAAATGATGCTGCAGCGTTACGCTATGCATCTTCGTAGATCTTGGAGGCTTGTTTATTATTTTCCTACCGCTTGTATTTAGGTGTCTTACTAAGAAGGGAGTTTGGATTTTTAATTTAGCTTATAGAATTGAGAATTAGCAGACTGACTGCCACACACTGACACGAACACAAGACACAAGTTTTGTTTTATTTTTTTTACTCGCTTTTTATGGAAGCATGCACGCTTCAGAAAAGATCGTCAGCCATTGTGCAAAGAACATTTCGAATTATTTTTTTAAGGTTTTAAGCATATCTTGTTTTTATACGTCACTAATTGTGTGACTAGCCGTAGCATTTTATTATGAGCCCTGCGTTTTGTTAGCCTTCTCAGATAATTTGTCAGCCTCTGGTGAATAAACGTAGCTGTTTTCGGAAGTTTTTTTTTTGCTGACAATTATTGAAGAGCCACGAGAGGAGAAAAATAATTTCACATCTGCAAAAGGGTTTTAATGCAAGTATTATTCGTTGATCATAAAGTCTGCTGTATAGACTACTATTTTATCTTATAGAATTAAGAATTAGCAGACTGACTGCCACACACTGATATCAACACCAGACACAGTTTTGTTTTTTTCTTCTACTCGTTTCCTGCGGAAGCCCGCGCGCTTCACTAAAGATCGTCAGCGACTGTGCAAAGAAGATCCAGAATCATTTTTTTCATGTTTTTAGGCATACTCTGTTTTTATACGTCACTAAGTTTGTGATCAGACATTGCAATTCATTGTGAGCCTTGCGTTTCGTTTGCCTTTTCAGATAATTTGTCAGCCTCTGGTGAATGAACCTTGCTGTTTTCGGAAGTTTTTTTTGCTGACAATTACTGAAGAGCCACGACAGAATCTCACACCTGCAAAAGGGTTATCTCGCAAATATTATGCGTTCATCATAAAGTCTGCTGTACAGCTGACTTGGCAAGTTGATCATTGAGACCGTAACAAAACTGCGTAAAAATGCGTGGCTGAGAAAAGACAACACACAAAAGAAACGCTCACTGAGTGTCATCGCTTTTCGTTTGTGTTTACTCCATACTGTGAAGTTTTCTTCCGCTGTTTATTATCACAATAAAGCGTGCTGTCGCTTCTATGGTGGCGGAGAACTAGTGCATGAGCTTGGAACGAAGAAAAAAAAAACACCAGGCCTGTGCGGAACGCGCAGCATAGTCACAGAGAAAGCGGAAGGCCGGGCTTTCCGAGCCCTTTCTGAAACGCTTTGGGTGACCACTAAACTTGTTCGGTACCAACTATGCCATTATTAGTCATAATGTTTGAGTAGTAGGCTGACATTCACCATGCTATTTTTCGTCATTCTTCGGAGAAGTGTGGTACCCGCTGAACACTGCCAAGGAATTTAGTGCCAATTGTTCATGTAGGGGCTGGTGTCGATGAGCAATTTCGGCTGAAGTGGTATGTGGAGCAGTTATTATGTGATCAAGAACAAGCTGTTCTATTGGGTTGGAGCATTGGACGACCCACTCATTATGCTATTCGCATTGTATGACGCCAGCACCAGCATGATTCCGTGAAAGAATACTGCGCTTGCACGCAGTCAACGCGGGTTTGAGCTCCACTGTGTCCTTGGTACTGTTTTTTTCCTTATTGCGTGAGAAATTGGTTACAAACGGTGGCAGTGGTTGCGGTGGTAAACAACTACGGCACCGTGCGTGACCATATTTTTGGTCTTATAACAGCTTTCGCTGTAAAAACATGCTTCTTGACAAAAGAACACTTGCCCGGTTGGGACCAACACCGGATCTTCGAGGTGATGAAGAAGGTGAACGCTGCAACGAGTAAAACGCGACACTTGAGAAAACAAACGCAGTGAAGCAAATATACACAAGTTTACGATAATTATATAAGAAAATAAAAAAAGAATATTGGTGAAGAATTAAAATATTTTGGTTTCCCACGTTCAATGTGTCGTCTCCAGATAGATAATAATGCTATGTCGTTATAATTCACGAGTAGAGTCTATGCACACGCATATGGGCACTTCCCGTTTGCGATAAGTGAAAATATCATTACAGCTTTACGAGAATGCCATTGCCATTCTCAGTCTTAAAAGGGTTGATGATGATGATGAGCAATGTGTGCGGTGTAGCATCCCGAAGCCATCGTATGGTTATGAGAAACGCCGTAGTGGAGGGATCCAGAAATTTTGACAACCTGCAGTTTTTTAGCGTGCACCCGCACCTGAGCACACAAAACAACCGCATTTGTGCCTCCAATGAAACTGCAGCTGCAGCCTGGATTCGATCCCGCGACCTGCGTGTCAGCAGCCGAGTACCTTAGCCACTAGACCACCTCGGCGGGGCTGTGTTCAGAGAGAGCACACGGAAAAGGGCCACGTTTTCGTGTCTACGGTCAGCACCACCGCGTCAAACATTAACCTTAGCTTGCAAGTTAAGGACACATGCTGCTGCACACTAGAACTTAGCGTGGACAGCTAAAGAGTAGCGATGGAATAAAGGTGCGCTTTGTAATAACGAGTTTTAAGTATAACATAAGCATAATGAGTTTTATTTGCGCCAGTTTTAAACAATGCGTAATAAATCGGTTGCCTTGATGAGGATGAGTAAAAAGGATTAGTATGCACGACAAATAGACCAGGCAAATTGTAATTCTGTAAAACTTTGGGAAATTGTAAATGACGTTGTCGGAAACCCTCCCGCTTCTAAGGTGCTTCCTGATGTCATCGACTCCAATACGGTTGAATCATTTAACACCTATTTTGCCTTCATTATTCAAACACAAGTAAAAAATTCAAAGAACCCAACCAAGTACGTGGTATCGCAGATTCCAATCTCAATTTTTGTCATGTATGACATCAACGTTGAGGAAATCATACCAATTGTGTCAGGAATGCCAATGAATAAATCGGCAAGCCTAGGTGGGATAACTGTAAGGCTTCTCAAAAAAAATTTAGACGTCCTCGAACTGGTTTTCTGTCGACTATTTAACCATTCTGTGAGAGCAGCCTTGTACCCTTCTTGTTTAAAAATTGCTAAAGTTATTCTGATACATAAAAGTGGCGATCACTCTCAACCGTCAAACTACCGACCAATCTCAGTTTTGAGCATAATTAACAATATTAAAAAATTCTTGCCAATCATTTCTACAAATTTATTGCAAAATATAACATGCTCTCCCTTCAGCAACACGTATTTAGACCAAATTCTACCTCCACCGCCGTTATGACCCTTACTCAAGCAATAAACACTACATATAATTAAAATAAATTAGTAACAGTTATCTTTCTGGACCTCGAAAAAGCCTTTGACACCATAGACCACAGATTACTGCCAAGTAAATTAACACATAATTATTTCCGTGGGACCATATTTCAACTTCTTTCAGATTACCTGAAAGATCGTCAACAGACTGTATTAATTAACAATTTCATGTCATCTCTGAGCTACTTGAGAACTTGTGTTTCCCAGGGCTTTGTGCTGGCACCATTGCTCTTCTTATTGTATATTAATGACCTTCCGCAGATATTACAGCCTTCTAACACACTGATGTATGCTGACGATACTTGTGTCATGGTAACAGGTAGAAATCTAACTGATCTTGAATCGAAGCCCAATATAGAACTGGAAAAGGTCGCTCATTGGTTATCGTATAATAAACTACCTATAAATACCGATAAGACTAAATGCATCACGTTTGGCGCTCGGTTGAGATTCATAAATGCTAATGACATAGAGATAAAAATTGACGATTCCGTGATCGAGCAAGTAACCACAATTAAATATCTGGGTGTCACTATAGATAACAACTTACATTGGCAGATGCAGATTCAAAATGTGTGTTCCAAATTAGCCTCAGGGTGTAATCCTCTTACTCAGGCTCGTCAGTATTTTAATACCACTACTCTACGAATGCTCATTGTGTTTTCATTCATGGTCATATCTCATATTGCATTGAGTCTTGGGGCGGCACGTACACAACTTACCTGGACCCGGTTAGACGACATCAAAAACGGGCTGTAAGAATCATTACTCATTCCAAGTATAACGACCCCAGCAAACCTTTGTTTTCCAGATTACTTATTTTCCTCTTCGAGAAGCTAAGAAAATTAAAACTAGCCAGATGCGTAAACTCTGTTATTACTTACAACCACCCTTTTCATGTGTCGATGTTTTCCGCCCCGTCTCGTTCTACTAGACAACTAACCTTTAGTAAATGGAATATTCCACGAACTAACAACGTATATGGTGAACGGCTTTTACAGTTTGTTGGTATTAAAATCTGGCATGTTATTCAATTTTAAAAATGTGTTAAAATTTCACTAAGGCACTAGAAAAACACTATTTAAAAAATTCAGTGATTTATTATTGTCCTGTAATAATTAGTGTGGTGACAGTCTTGATTTCAATATGTAAGTAGGTGTTTATTCAGTTTTCATTTTCTCGTGCATTGTAACGGGTTTGTGTGGTTATTTTAGGCACTGTAATGTTTCTTTGCCGATTTTTTATTATTATTGATTGTGAAAACTTTAGTTAAATCTTTATTGATAATGTATAACTATTTAGCTACACTTTTCCGAAGTGCCTTTTCTTTTTTGGACCCAAACTAGCCTATGGCAATGGGTTCACACAGTATATGCAGTTTTTTTGTAAAAAGTGTGACCATTAAAATTCAATTCAATGCAATATGATAATGATGTGTGTTAACACTTTCAGGTGCCAGCATTGCGACCTGCTGCAAAGGTGGATTTTTTTTACTAAACTCTCAGCATACTCATACTACGGTTCGCAAGCACATGTGCCCAAAATATCCATGTTTAGCAGATGCTACAGATGGTTACACTATGTAATAGATCCCTATTGCTGCAGCCTGGCGGAACAGCGCAGGTGCCCGAATGGTCACGCCAATCGCCATAGGAGAAGAAACGAAGGAAAAGACCATGTAAGTGCTGGTGCTTAGTGGACTTTCTGCAAAGTTGGGATAAACAACACGAGCAAGCCCTCCTCTGAATTCCGTTAAGCCACGCTAAACATATTGCACTTTATCAGGACGAAAAAGGTTTGACCCACTTCCCCCTTACCTCGACGCTACGCACAATACTCTTCAGCTTGATCGAACACCTTTCACGCTTTTTTTTTGTTTTTCGAAAACAGTTTTCTTACTAGCTTACTGGGTAAGCGAAACTTTTTGATGCCTTTCCACGCTTTTTTTTTACTCACACACGCCTGCAACATGATGTCTCAAGCTGTATTTTTACACTAAAGATAGCAATTTTCTTTAAAAAAATACTTACCGCAGGTTGACCAAAGATGACACTGTCCAGAGATAGTGGATTGGAAGACTGAAAAGAGTATTGCAAGACCATGAAGGTACGGATGAAGCCTATCGGCAATGTAAGCTGGATGTTTAATTTAGACAGGCGCTTGAAAAGCAGCAGTAGTAATTGTGCAACTGCCGATACATACAAGAGAAACAAATCATAAGTGCAATGTAACTTCAATAAAACTCTGCAGATAATGAATTCAAGGAAAGAAGAGAAGACGTAAATTGTAATAACCTTTCTGCAAAGTTAAGATAAACAGCACAAGCAAGCACTTCCCCCGAATTCCATTTAGCCACACTATACATATTTCCCTTTCTCAGGGTCTAAGAGGTTTGACCCACTGCCCCCTGACCCCGATGCTACGCACGATACTCTTCAGCTTGATAGAATAAGCACGTTTCCCACTTTTTTTTTCTTTTACCAAAACACTTTCTTTACTAGATTACGGAGTAAGCGAAAGTTTTGCTGCCTTTCCACACTCTTGTTTTTGACTCACACACGCCTGCAACATATCTTGTTTTTCGCGACACCTTCTTTCTATTTCCTAGGTGTGTGCATAAATGACATTACATCTGCCAGCCATTTTTCGCGAAGATGATTTTGCTGAAGAAACAATAACTCCTGCGAGTACAAAGACTAGGTCACAAGGTAATCAGGAAACGTCTTGAGGACATCACACTACGCAACTGCTATACTAGGCATGGACACCAAGCTCATTGTCATGTATTCGATAGAGTAGAACAATCATTCTGACACACAAGATGTTGAATGAAAGCTGTGATACAACAGATGTCCATAAAAGGTTGCGTTATAGAAGGCAGCCATTGCGTAAATGATTCTGCGAAAGCCTTAAAGAAACTATTTTTGATCAAGGGCGCATATCAACTCACTTCTGCAAATGAACCTAACAGTTAAGAGAAGACAGCGCGGATCAAACTTTTCAAAGTCAACAGTTAGAGTCACTCAATATGCTCTTTTCTGTGAACGCTGCAATAACGGGAATGCTTATAGTGGTCACCTTTCCGGCAATATAACAACTGCTTGTAACTGCCATTAGAAATTGTCAAAGTTCTTTTAATAACTAGCCTAGCCCACGATTTCTGTAGACAATTCCCGCATAGACCCACACAACTGGTTGCGAGTGTGTCTAAGCGAACTTGAGGATATTGAGCGAGTCAACATAGGTCCGCAATAAAATAATGTAGGCAGCCATGAACTTCTGTAGCTAACTTTTAATAACTGTTATAAAAGGGGGAATCCCTGCGGTAATGGTGGGCATCGCTGTTTTTAGAAAAAGACGCGTAGGACTACGTACCTTGTCACTTTTCTCCACCGACCACTCAAATACGATAGGTCTGACGAACTTAGCACTGCTGTCAAGTGTTTCCCATCGGTGTAATAACTGCGGGTTACAGGTATAATCATGTCAATGAGAGGGGGTTCGGATAAATTAACCTTCATAACACAAAATTGGTTTGTTGTTTGGGCGATTGTCACCGAGTACGCTGGGACTAATATTTGTGATTCTGAAACAGAACAGGAAACGTGCTCTTAGGTAATTTAACAGATTATGAAAAAACGCAAACTTTTGTTAGCCTAGTGTGGTAACACGTCACATTCGGACTGCGAGGTGCGTCAAAACAATAGCTTCGAATCCCCATCAATACTTTTTGTCTCAGTTTTTCTTTTTCTTGTCGCAGTGCCACTATTTCATCCAAAATTACAATCTGGGCACCACGTAAATTCTCAGAATATACTTAAAAGCGAGCTTTCAGCCCTTAGTTGGTGTCCCAGTTCTCCGCGCACAAATGTCCAGTGCACGCATTGCAGCGAGCCTATCTCGAATTACCCAGTGGCGCACAGGTCTCATCACCATATATAGCACTAGGGCAGCGTAGATGGGTTTCTCAACAGGATGATCTGCACCCTAACAATTGTTTGTCACAGCCTTGCCATGCCGTAGTACGAAAACCGTGGATGTACAAAACGGGAAAACGGACGGCACACTGTTTTTCATAGTTTCTCATGACTATCTGGCCTTGGTGGCGAAAACAGTTCTAATACGGTCACTGATTGCACTACGTGTGGGGTGAATGGTACGGTAGTTAAGTCAACAGCAGCTTTAATTGAAATGCTAAGCAACTTGAAATGTAGGCACCACACTGTTCGCGCATCTCTGTATCCGCACTGTAAAGGGTTCTTTATTGATCTATCATCTCACTGTTCGTTTCTTTTCTCCAATACACCGCTTCCCTTTGTCATTCCCTTGTTATGCTACATATGAGTCATGATTACTCATAGCGTCGTTCGCCGTCTTTCTCCCTTGCAGTTCTTCGTCATTCTATCTCTCACTTTTTTTTCTATTGTTTTCTCCCCGAGAGCATTGCGATAATATCATTCGCAACAGAATAGAAAGTTGGGCAAGTTGGTGTATATTCATATTAAAAGAAAAGCGGCGCACAAAAAGACGCAGACAAAGAAGAGAACCACACACAGCGCTGCACAGGAAACGTCAAGAGAACCACACACAGCAGCGCTGTGTGTGGTTCTCTTCTTTGTCTCCGTCTTTTTGTGCGCCGCTTTTCTTTTAATATGAATATCATTCGCGTAAATGCTTTTTTTTGTTAGCAAGCCCAGAGAGTTTAAAATTTATGAGTCTAAACATCGGAAAATGGCTGCACAAACTTTTATCCCACCTCAAGAAACATTATAATTTTCTTTGCTTTATTTCGTCTCACCTGGCTTTCCACAACTCATCTCCACTCCCTTCCTTCTTCTTGTGCACCTCAACCGTCATGTGCCCAACTTTCGAGGCTTAACAGGCAGATGTCTCATGCTTTCTTTTTACACTGAACATAACAGCTTTTATGATAAAATAAAACACTTACCGTAGGGTGACCGAAGACGACACTGTCCAGAGATGGGGGATGGGAAGGCTGAAAAGAGTATTTGAAGACTCTGAAGACACGGATCAACAGTAGCGAAAGTGTAAACTGAATGTTTAAATTAGCCAGGCACTTGAAAGCAGCTGTATGATTTGCGCAACTACCAATATCATATATACAAGAGAAACAAATCGTAGGTACAATGCAACTTTATTGAAAATCAGCAGATAATGAAGTCAAGGAACGAAGAGAAGACGTAAATTTTAGTGTCATGTGGTGTAATGCTTTGGAATATGACGCAAATAAAGTAGTATGCACAAAACGACAACTTGCTGACATCAGAGACCACAGCGTCAGCCTACAAATTATGCGCCTGAATCTCCGCTAACTGAGCTACAGTGGTGGTCGTCCGCTCAACCGTATTATTGACCATAAAAGTATTATAAAAACAAGCAGAAAAGCCTCCCACCCCTATAAGGCAGATAAAATAAAACATATAACCACTTCTGTGCCCTCATGACGAAACAATACTCAGCTTTCGGGTCCTGTCCATTGGCACTCGCAACTGCATGCTGCAATCACCCCAGGTGCTTTTGCTTTTCTTTCGTCATAGATCTTAGTTGAATCACAGTGAGATACTGACATATAAAGTCTTAGCTGATGGCGACAAAACACACGGATGACAAGGCACTGTATGCGACTCACCTGGCGCGCAAGCAAGCCAGCGCGATCCGCTACACGCCACATGGCCACGTCCTCAAATGATTTTAGAGTAGATTGAAAGTAGAGCCATCTTAAAAACAAATCTGCAAATCCTTCTTGCCGCTCATAGTAAATTACATAAATCGCAGTCTTGTCAGTCGTAAACGCATTTGAAATTTACCTCGCACAGTTTCCGTTCCGTTATATTTCGTGAGCAAATATATATAATATTTACACTGCGAGAACATAAGTGTTTATAGTGCTATGTTTAGTCCTTTCTAGCCTACTCTAATGACATCAATGACACATTCTAAAATGTCAGCATTTTGGTTATGCAATGTGCTGCCCCCCAATGAAATCTTTTATCAACCAGAAAAAATTTTCACGAAAATATGCTACTTTATCTCAATTGCATAGTATGGGTTGAAAATTGGCCTAATATCTCCACGGTTTGTTGGCAAGAGCTCCAATAGTGATGTAGATGTCGCCATGACAGCTGAGAAACGTGTTTTTGCGTTTTATAGCTTGTCTTTTTTTTCATACATACTACTCCCACATTGGTTTCAATTTTTATCTATCTTTTTATTCAATATTTGATATACATGCATATAGTGTTGTGATTTTTTTACCTAGTTGCAATAAGATAAAATCACTTACCGGACTAAGTCTGAGAGCTCCGGCTCCTCGTGGGCTTCCAGGCTGAAAAAGAAATAGCGTGAGAATGGGCAATAAATGAAAACTTGATCATGCTACCACCTAATGCTCATGCTCTCAGCCAGGCGAATAAAACTCAGTACACTCTGAAAAAGACCTCTTCGTCATAAGCAGGCATGTCAACCTCGAAAGCCCATATGGCTACAGAAAGCAGCTTGAACTTATCGCACCTCGTGGCGCGCAAAGCTCACCCGATCTTTTTCTTGTGGAAAAGATGGCATTACTAAAATGGTACTCACCAGACTCTCACTACATCCCTGGAAATGCGTGAAACACAGGCGACAAAACAATTACTAAGATATTCACAAAGTAGTTATGTTGGAGAAGCTTGTTCACAGTTGCATAGGTAACAACCTAATCTTCATTGCCCGTGCGTAACTCTTATCAAAGAAACTTTTGCCGCCACCAGAGCATATTTGCACGCGGAGTAAACTCTGTGCAGGTTGTAGAGTGGTGGCAGGGCCGACGACGTGACGGTGATAGGGAACTTAATGAAGAACTGCGACGGCGTTGGCTGGGGTTTTCTCGTTGTGGATGCCTGTGATTATGGTGATGTTGTTGAACCATAAGTGGTCACATACCGTGCGTTTGTGGCCGAAAGTGTGATCGAATAAGTCGCGCTGGAAGCACGTGTCGGTTTCTCCCATGTCAGGTAACAAGCCTTGTGGCACTTGGCTGAGACAACCGGTACCCGCACTTCGGGGTTCTCTTGCTGCCGCTTGCGCTTTACTTCTTCTTTACGCCCTCAGGCAGCAGGGTCCACTTGACAGCACACAAGCTTCACAAGCTTCGCTACCACTTTCACAGCTCCATGTTTGTGTGACGGCAAATCATCTTCAATTCTGCTTCCCTGGCCTGCCACTCCGGGTTTTCTTTATGGTGAGCTTTCTTCTTTTTGGTATCCCGGGCTGCCACCACAGAATCTTGGTGTTATACCCAAGCTGCTGCTGCGTTGGGAACCTGCCACGCTGCTGACTTGTCTTATGAGGTGTTCATGCGACGAAGCGGTAACGAATACTAACTGCCTAAGCTCGCGCCGAAGAGAAATAAATACATGTGCCGAGAGAATGGTGTGCCTCTCTCTCGGCACGTGCGCCGAGAAAATCTATAAATCACCGCAGAATCGTGCATGCCAACACCAAACAAGACATGAGCATAAGAAGCTCACCAGGCAAGCTAGAAAAAGATGATAAAAGGCAACCCACTAGTAAAGCACACATATTTTTGTCATGAAGCAGTAACGGTCACTATAATAATAAGAACAGTACCCTTAACCATATTCGTATCTCTACAAAAATGTGAAACGATGGCGATAAAGACTTTAAATGTGCACCCTCTAGAGAAGGAGCTATGAGCTATGAGCCACCAGTCACAGGAGAATTCAAAGTTAGCACATCTTGTACCTAATGCTACAAGTCTGAAGAAAGTACAAGGGGAGGGCACCTTCTGCGTTTCTTCTCAGTTGTGTCTTTCCTTTTCCTATCTTTTCTTTCGTTTCTGCTTTCCAGACTTTCTGCGTTTCAATTTTATTTTTATTTCTTTATTTCTATCATCATAAAAGCACTCCAAGAACAAGAGCAAAAAGACTTTTTTTGGTTAGAGTGTGCGCTCAGAAAACATAGTGCCATACGACGTTTTGCTAGCGCTATTGCCATCATAAATACGATCGAAGAATAAAGGGGAAAATGTTTCCTTGGTGAAAGCTTGCACTCAGTCTGCTACGCTATATGTGGTTTCGCCTGCGTTATGCCAAACTACGACACGATGCGACAATGACAGCATATGATGGCGGGGTAATAGGGCGCAGCTTGTTTTAGTGACGCAAGACTGCAACCGTCAACGGAACTTTTGTTCGACCTGGCTAAGCTCTAAATGTAATTCCCAGCTTTTGCCTGCCAAGCTTTTATTAATAGTGTCACGCAGCAGTTAAAACGGACTCTAATACGCCCCAAAAAACGGTGAATCCACTTCACCAATCAGCAAAGTTTACACTTCAGTCCAGGTCACACAACAGATAACATAGATTGACGCATATAAAACAAACATGCACGGAAAACAGATAAGTGTCTAATGAATGCCCACAATAATTTTTTTCACACGGAAGGATTGTCATCCTGGCCACAGTTTCAAGTGAAAAACATCTCGTAAAAGGCTTCATTCGAGATACGTAAACTACCTTGATACCATTTTTTGCAGTGGTCCGTTAGAAGAACAGCCACACGCAATTATTGGTGGGTAATATCCACTAAAACACAGTGTACCGACCAATGAATCTCAGTTGAAACTTGCCGTACAAGTTAGAGTATACATAGATGGACAAAGCAGCACTTCGTCAACCGGGCTGAAGGACACGAAGCGGTTAGTTGCGTTGTATTCAGCATGTAATTTTGTTGGCTTGCTTCAGTCTTGAGCTGGATGAGCTGGCGACAATTAAGCAGAAGAGAGACGTATTTTTCGCTGGAAGATGCAGATTTTTTGACGGGAGAAAGATACGACCAGAGAGATAGAAAAAAAGAGGGTAGCGACCATGAAGGAAGTAGCGACCATGAAGGAACGTAGCGACCATGAAGGAACCAGTTGTCCACTGTATGATGGTGCTTTATGCGAAAGTGACACATGCGAAAATACGTCCTAGCTTTCGTAGACGGCATGGATGTACACGGTGATGTCTGACAGTTTGTGATGAAAGCGCTTAAATATTTAGCCTGTTCGCTTGGGTGTGCTTACAAGAGGTTATTTTATAGATGTTGGCGAAGGCCTTGAGCACTTTGTTGACAACTAGTCAAAGTATTTTCGTTCCGCAGTTGCTTAGGGTGAAAAGAAGGAGTACCGTGGCGTAGGTATAACGAAATAACGTGAGAGTTTTGCCGAGTTGGTAGTTCATCGTCCAGACAAAATTCCGCAGTGCGAGAGAAATAACACATATGCACAAAAAGGGCACTGACGCGGGCAGCGCTTGTCCTTGGCAGTTGCCTTCTCGTGCGTTCGTGTTTTTTCCCGTGCTCTCGAACATTTTTAGGTGACTAAGGGCTAAAGCTTTTAGTATAAGCAGTGACTTCGCAAGCTGACAAAAAAGTCACGGAAGCTGCTTAAGGGACGCGTATCAGATGGATCGTAGCTGCAATTATTCACCCATTTCCAGCGAGGATCACAAGACTTGGACCGTACAGGATAACGCCAACTGACTAGAGTGGTTCCGACAGAAACGGTAGTGGTCGCAGCTGAAAATTTCGAACAAATGTCAGTACCTCTCGACGATGACAAATCGCACATGGGCCAAAGAACGTCGCTACACTAGTGGAGAAGCCTGGCCAGTAGTACCAACATCTGAGGCGGGCATAGATTCTCTGGATGCTCAAGTGACCAACTGTGGTGTCGTCACAAAATTCTCTAAGGATTCGAGCCCGAAGATAGTGAGGTAGAATATTTACCCAGCGTTTACCACTGTAGTGGTAATTATGGCAGTACAAGACGCTATTGTCGACCTCCAATGGCTACAGCTGCCGACGAAGCAGGCCATTATGGCAATTGGGATGTCAACGAAGACGGGCTGTCAACAAAGAGCGGGCTACAATAGCACTAAGTATCGCCAGACATTGCTGAACTTGGCTAGCGATGTGACGTGACTACCGGTCACGCGATCCTGGGATTAAAGTAATTTCGCATGCTTTTACGTTTGTCTTGGTAGGAACTTGTCAAATTACTCAATTTTACCAGACATGTTCTGAGCGTTTTCCCCAGTGGTCCAGAATTTCAGTCACGTCATCAAGTGTTACGTGATTTTCAGTCACGCGACAGAATGTTGTGAGATTTTCTGTGATATTTAGTCAAGCGTATAGTTACGCGACGTAACACGATTCTATGCCCGTGTCTAGCATCGTGGTTTTAGTCGCAGTGACAACTTTTGCTGCAAAATTCCAGAACACGTTGATGTTTTATTGTCGTTTCTGACACTAAGACGGAAACTTAGTAGCAGGAGGTTCATGACACGATGCGAAGAGATTTTCTTTTTTAACTGCAGAAGTAAAAAAAGGAAACAAACCTTTGAATTCAATCAACCTGCACAATACAGCTTCTGTTTAAGTAAAACAACTATTTATGTTTCCTAAAGGACAATGACAACCGTATAGTAGCTATGCTTATCAATGATGACGTAGTTGAGTCGCTAAGTTGGTAAGCAGGTGGTGATTCAGTAGAAAAAACGCACCCCGACGAGTGAAAAACTAGATTATAAAGTTTGTTGCTAGTGTGAAGAAGAAGATGTGCCTGCAGCGAGCAGCATCGCCAACGCCCGGCTCTCTCGGCTCGTGCTTCGGTTCGTTGCTGTGCCGATCGCTGGACGGTTCTTGACGCTGTCTCGTCGCTGGCTTTAACGGCTAATAAACCTCCTCACATTTGGTGGAAGGTGCTGTTCATCCCCGTTGCTACACCCTGGAGCTGCGAAGCCGCACGCTACCACCTGTCATGACTGCCAACGCCACTACATCGACGCCATCGCTCCAGTTCAACTGCCCTGGCCATCCTAAACTACGGGAGCCGAAGGTCTTCAGCGGTGCGGATGGGACCGACGTCGAAGACTGGCTCGAGCACTACGAACTGGTGAGCGCCAACAATAAGTGGGATGAAGCCGACAAGCTGGGCCACGTGATATTTTATCTCACTGGCGTCGCCGAATTGTGGTTTAATAACCACAAACACAACATCCCCACATGGAGCGTCTTCAAGACGTCATGTGCTGAAGTGTTCGGTCGGCCGGCTGTCCGCAAGCAGAGGGCAGAACAGCGCTTGCGCGTCCGCTCTCAGCAGACTGGCGAGACCTTTAGCAGTTATATTGAGGACGTCGTCGACCTTTGTCGACGTGTGAATGACACCATGACCGAATCTGACGAGGTCTAAAACATCCTGAAGGGCATCGACGACGGCGCATTTCAGATGCTCTTGGCAAGAAATCCAAGCACAGTTTCCGAAGTCGTCAGCTTGTGTCA